TATGCAAATGATTTGAGGTTAATATAAAGTGTTTGTTTTATTTATTTCTCACTAAATATCATGGCAAAGTTTCAAAACAGCGTGGGTTTTTTCATACTTAATCATTGAACTCTGTGAATCAGGTCCTGGAGTTCCAGAGGAATATCAGCTCAGCTGTATTTCAGCCTTTGCTTTGGCTTGTGTTGAAACTTTCGTCTCCACAGTCACTTCTGTGCAGTTTTCCTAACACTAACAATTACCACACAAATGACTAAATTTATAATGTGTTTTTTTTCAGACCTTTTGCTTTTAATAATCTTTCTTCAGTGTAGTAGTAAGATTAATCCTGTAACTGCAGAGAAGGGAGTCTGTAAACTTTAAAGATTTACCTTCAATTATGGGTAAGCACCTGCACCTTTGATTTTGAGAGTAGAAAATGAGATGACCGTTCAAGTTATGAAAGAAGATTAAGAACAATTTTTGCTGAGATTCTGTTTTTCCTTAGTTAAATGTGGAATGCTTCAGTAGAGCTAGTCAGGATGGAGGGACAGGGATATATTCCAGATTTAGAGTTGCTGCAGATCACTTTTCACTTGAAGGAAGAGAGAAATTAAAGGTGCTATTATTTTTGAGCAGCTCAAAGATGCTTTTTGCCCCTTGCCAAATATTTATGGCAAAGCTCTGATCTGAGTAGCACTCTGGTTTTCAAAAAGTAACCTTGAATGCTTGCCTGTGGAGGCTTTTTGCATTTAGAAGTGGACTTCAGAAACTCACGTCCTGTTACACTGCATAAACAATATAAATACTCACTTTCTTTGTACTTTTTCACTCCATGGGTAATTGTACAAATTTCTGCATGTTTGTGTATTTCTAGATTAAATGAACTCAGTTGCATTCTGATATATGTTATATGTTTGTTCCAGATGTTGGTGTAGAAATAGCAAAAAGTTAAAAACCGGCATGGCTCAGACACAAAGTACTGAACTTACTGTTGTAGGACAGTACAAAACACCTGCAATTGCCAGTAAAATATCTCAGTGCAACAAGGGCTTGCTTGCTCCTTGTCTTTGTGCACCATTTGTGACTTTTTCCCAATGAAAGAGAAATTACAGGAGTGCAAGAAAAAACACTTATTTGCTGCAAAGCTTTTGAAGAATTTCGATTTTATTATTCTCTGTCCTGCATTTTAGTGAAATTTTTGGAAATTGAAAAAAAATCTGTGTTACAGCATGAGAATAGCTTCAGTGATGTGTAAGAGGCTGCCATAATTTCCAGTGTGATTTCAGATTTTCAAAGAATTAAACTGGAAGATAAAAGATTACTTTTGAGCTCAAATTCCTGGAAATGTCCCTCCGGGCTTAAATTAATCTCATCTTGGAACTTGATACCAATGGAAGAGGTGCGTGACCCAGAAATGAAGAAAGAATCAGTTTTACATGTTTAGGACATATTTGTTCCTATAACTTCAAGGCCATTTTTAACTTGAGAAAAATGTCCATATGTGTATCTGTGATAAGCAGTAGAGCGATGGCAAATCTCCAGCAAGGATCACTTGTCTTATAAGGTCGTATCTCACAGAACACTGCGTGCTCCCACTACGGGCGGTGGGAGTAGAGCTTGCTTTGCCTGTGGTGAGACTGGGACCATCGTTATGGGATCCTGCTATCAAAACCAGACTCTCTTTAAATGCCTGCTTTTGTGATAGGTGTGGTACATAAATGCTATTTTATTAAATAGCAAAATAAATTACTGAGGTTTGACCTCAGCTGAGGCTTTATCACTGTTGCCCTGCCGGTGAACTCTAAGGCAGAGCTTTTTCGTGGAATTCAGCATGTCGTCACTTTTTTGGTAGAAAGAGTTAATGCCGCGGTCTGAAGCTGCACTGAAACGTGGGTTATTGTGAGGCCTATGCAAAGCTGTGAGTCCTCAGGAAAAAGCATACAGGACCAAAACTCTTCTTAAATTTGCATTTCTTTTTCACTGTAAAGCCATCTTGAGTCTCCAGTAAAATGTCAGAGTATTACGCAAGGGAGAAATCCGATGACAAAGCCGGGTGGGTGCTGCTCCCTGGACTAGTGTTTTTTGCAGCGAGTCACTGAATAGCAGCTTCCCTAATCTTGACAGCTCTAGTAGTTGCCCTTGGGACAGAAAGAACACAAAAAAAAAAATTCAGAACAGTCCATAAAGTTCCCGTTGGTTTGAAAGCAAAAACATCTGCTAGAGTCATGAACAGTTTGTTAGCAGAGTTCAATAACAGGAAAGCCTGCAGTTGATCAGCTGTGCCCTCAGAAACAGGCATTACTGCAGGCAGTAGAATTTATTGTAGGGGAGTCAGGAGATATGGGGAAGATTAGGGCAACAGCAAAATGTGTCAAAATAATGCTTTTGTTGCTTTGGTTTCAAATATAACCTTTACCGGTGAGGATGAAGTGTGGGCATTATGATTTCATATTCAGATATTTACAGTGAATCCTCAGCTGTTTGTAATCCAGGAAGGTAGGTAGGTGTGTTTTCTTAATCCGAGTTTGATATGGGCTGGACAGACACATCCATAAGTCGTTGAATTAGTGCTGTCACGGTTGTAATGAAGCCAATGAGTGTAATTTCTATATTACCTTGAGAACTGGTGAACACACGATACTGCAATAAGGCCTGTGGTTGCTGGGGCTGTACGTCCACATATGTGCAGGCACAAATTGTATTGATTCCAAGGAATATGGCAGATGCATAGTATCTCATGGGAAAAACTTGACACTTTGTAAGAATATGTCCTGATGTATATAGCACTTTAAATAATTCCTCAATAAATTAGGCCCTGAACTGAATTTTCTATATGGCAGCTTTCAGAATAAGGACACGCTGCGATACAGAGGTGTTAGAAATGGCTCCATAGCTGAGGTTGGGTTCAGATACCCACTTATACAAACAGGATGAAAACCCTTTATTTCATATAGTGTATGGATTTATGAAAACCCTGTGCTGTTTATATTATAGAGGCGCCGTTCTGTATTTATGGTTACAATTGTGTCTGCTTTGCCATTATAAACTCCTATTATTAGAGGTTTACAACATGACTGTAAAAATTTGTAGTGGATGGAGAGTTGACACATAAAGGTCAACCCTGTAAAAATATAGTTTTTAAAAATCAATTTTAAAAATTGAGTCATTTTTAGATTATGCGAATATAAAAATTTTGGTTCTAATTTTAGGATTGTCCAGTATCTTAATGCTGGAGCATAAAACTCTCTTGTTTTACCAAAGCAAAATACCATTGTTGTGTTTGCTTCTTTTAATTTGTTTTTGTGGTATCTGCTCTTCCCTCATAGTGGGTATGGTTTCTTGGTATTAAATCCAACAGGTCTCTGATACTAAGCAGGTACAAGAAAATTAAAAATACCACCTGTCTTATTGTCTGGGGTGCTTCTTGCATTTTGGTTTTTCTAAAGAGTGAAATTTTAGTTAGAGCAACATGATGCTACTGCCATAGAAAGTAAAGTAGCTGGACTGTAAGCTTTGCTAGCGTATTTAAATGACTCAGGACCACGAAGCATGAAATATTGATCTTTACAATAATGAGTCTATGATTCTCTCTTTTCTTTGTGGTAGCATTTGAACACTAAATTGTGATTTTCCCCGAAGTTGTATGTATATGTGGTAATCATTTTAGAAGTGGTTTTGGATACCATGCAGTCTGCAGAGCTGAATGAGGAACTTGCATTTTTCTGTCCATATGAAGATAAATGAGAGAAGTGAATAGAGGAACAAAACTAACTTACTTTTTCTCTGTGAATTGACAGGTCTTTGAAAACAGCAGAGACTTAGGTATTTAAGGAACTATAGTAATGTAAGATTTTCATGGTGTTGTCATGAGCTGATGAGCACTGTGGACAGATCTGATGTTGAGTCAACCCAAAAAATTTACCCAGCCTGGGATCTCTGGTAGTGACTGGAAGCAGATGCTCCAACATCTGGGAGTTTGGAGTTATGGGCTTCTTGAAGATGGTATCTGGTCTGTTGTGTTTAGTAACCACTGATGAATTTATCCCTCAGCTTGAACTAATATCTCTTCACAGTTATCAGTGTTACCTGCAGCTGAAAAAAAAATGTTTTTCTTATTTGTCCAAAATTATATACAGTATTTCTATAATGCAATGCAACACTTGAATACAGAATTTCTGGTATTTTACAGTCCAGTGAAAAAAATCTCAGTATTTAGTCTTTGTAGCAAATTAAACATCAAACTCTGCTTTGTTACAGATTCTTAATTCATACATTGTTACTACTCTAATGAAAAGGTGACACTAAGATGATAATGAAGCACTTCCAATTAAATTGCAAAAAAGTCATATCCTGAAAATCACGTTGTTTCTGAAGCCAGCTTTAAATTAACTACATTAATGTCAAAATGAGAATGATAATTCAGTTCCTGCAGTCTTGGAAGTTCTCTGTGTTTGCAGTCAGTACGTGTTGCAGTGCCTGAGGATAGCGTTTGTCAGCGTGCTTTAGCATCATTCAGATTCTGAAAAGTTTGTAGAAGAGGCTTCCATCATTGACAGCAGCATTGCTCAGTGTTAAATTCCTCAAGACAGATGGTTGTCATCTGTATTGGGCTGCTCTGTATGTTCATTAAGTACTTAAGGTTAAAAGAAGAAGAGCCAGTTGGGTTATCATGGTGGCTGTATGTATACATTCAAGTCAAAGAACTGAAATCTTGCCATCACTTTTAATGTCAATATTTGAGCTCTTTCTGTGCTCCAACATACTGTCACAGGTTTAGGAAAATGTACACATTGCTGTACCAGTAACTTACTGAAAAAGCTTTTTAAAAAGCATTTAACAGGAAATCTGATTTTTTTTGTTTGTTTGTTTCTATTTTTTTTCAGTGGTTCCACCAGGGAGCCCTGGCCCGATCACTCGACATGAGTCGTACGACAGCTTAGCGTCTGACCACAGTGGGCAAGAGGATGAAGAGTGGCTGTCACAGGTATGCTGGCTGGGGGTGTTCCAGTTCAGGAGGGAAACAGTAATAGTAGCCACTGGAAGTAAAATTCATAACTTTCCTCAAAAGGGAAAGTAAGCTTCCCATGGGCATTGCCGTGTGTGAAAGTGACTTCACTCCTGACTTAACATGGTATGAATTTGATGGTCTTTGCATTTTATACAAGCTATATTAAAAGCCATATAAAGTCCCCGTCATTACTGGCACAAGTCACATCCTTGGGAAGTTCAGGATGAAGTAGGAAGTCTAAGTTGGCAACAGAAAGTTCCCTCTCTGTCTTTTTGTCCTGACATGGTTCTTTTGAGACACGGATAAAGGAAGTTGGCTTGGCAAAATGACGGTGCCTTTTCAGTTGTGACCTGTGATACACATACTGCATTTCAACATAAAAATGGTAGATTAACTGGTTTACTTCCTTCTTTTTCTGGTTATCAGTTACTGCGTTTCCTACTGGTAATTCCTTTGAGTTATGGCTAGATACAACTACTGTAGTGCTTTAAAATGATCCTGCTTGGTAAAATGTTTTTACATGAAGTTAAATCTTCGTAGTTTTAGCCATTCTGGCTTTGTTTTAGTCAATGAAGCTTCTCTTTAAAAACTCAGTACATACTTGACTATTTGGCTCAAAATATAACTTCAGTTTAAGAATGTAGGTCATGAATAATACACTGAGAATTAGTCCCTGTTAGAAATAAAAGGTTAGAGTTCCATAAATAAATAAAAATTACAAATGCTCTGGATTTACCAAACCAATTGCAGAGTACCTGGTACGTGGAATTAGTCCTGATAAATTAGGTGGGTTTCCTTTGGTTTAAGAACAGTGGTGTTAAGGGAGTGATGCATTAAATGTGTTGCTGGGGTATATGGCATAAATATGAAATATTCATGGATGTGATTTGCTTCTCCCACTGGTGAATAAATCATACACACTATTTTCCTAAAATAAGAAGTTAGGTTTCCACATGTACTGCTCCGGGAGTGGCATTCACTGGGGAATCTACTCAGGTGAATCAACTTCCCTGGCCTAAGTTCTCAGATATGGCTGCACATTGATATGTCTTATTGGCTTGTACTGTCTGTAATTTCTCAGAGCATAAAGGTGGTGAAAATACCCAGTCAGTGTAATCAACAGGGATTTTATCACTGAGCTCCTTGAGGCCAAGATTCCACCTCTAGTTTTCCACTTATCCTCTCCAGTACCGTTTGGATAGTTCAACTTATTTTACTGTTCAGGTGACTCTGGTATAGTGGGCAACCTCGGGAAAAAGAGAGTGAGGTAAATCCACGTTATGGGGATTGGTTTATTACTAATTCTTGAGAGATATAAGATGTCAAAGGAACTTAAGACTGCTTGAACTTCATCACATCTATCCCTCTAGAACAGTAAATATCTTTATAAGAAAAAAGAAATCCCGAGTGATATCACAGAACTTGGATAATTCAGAGAATGCTTCCCAAATGTTTTATTTTTGCTAAGTGAAAAGAGTGATGATAGCTCTTTTGAGCACGAGGATTCGAGCATTCTCTAAGCAAGCCACTTTAGATTAAGCCTAAAGTGCAAGTATGTTTTTTCAAAATTAAAGTGTTGTTATCAACACTAACAGCATGCAGTGAAAAAACTCTGCCCTTCGCTTCAACTTTTCAATTAGAACAGGGGGTAATGTGTGCTGTCAGTGTGAAGTAGATACAATATGTTTGTCCTGCACACAACAGGAGAGTGAATAGGAACATCTGGCCATAGCCTCAGTAAAATTGCAGAGGCATCTGTTTACCTCTCGGCTCTGTGACACTGATGGTTTCAAGCTTAAAATATACAGATTACTTTATCTGTGGCCTAATTTACACTGCGACATAAAAGCTACTTGCCTGAGAAACCTCGAGAGTCAATCTGAGTTACGCTAAGATAAATGTGAAGATGGAAATAGTGCTAAATAGGCCGTGCATTTGTCCTCTTAGGTTAGCAGAGAACTTACAACAACACTCCCTATTGTTTGAAATTGCTTCTTAATGAGTTAAGAATCGCTACTGTTATACATATACAAAAATGAATTTCCACACTAAGTTGTATTTTTGCTGTAAAGTTGATCATTGTTTTAGCAGAAATTGATGGGAATTTAATAGTCTGTTTTTGTCATCTTAAAAGTATGAGTTCACCAGAGCTTAATATTTTCATTTCATATTTCTTTATTTTTTGATCTTTAAAGGCTCTTTTTGATTTTAAAAATTGTATTACAGCAGACTTATGCTTTGTTTACCTTCCACTTACAAGGCACAATTTTCCTGATCATATGTGTTTCCAACAGTGTTACCATCTTAAATTTTCATGGTTGTATGCATACCTGTAGTTGGCTTATTTAAGAATTTGACAGAACTGATACTCATCAGTTTTACAGTTATCAGCATGAAAAGACATTTTTTACATATTTTGGATGCTTCATTTACTGAAATAACTTAATTTTTGAAAGCTCATATATAGACTCTCACTGGGAGCCAATACATAGAGGAAAATGTGAATATTTGAAATTATTATTTGGGACACACCACCTGTATTCTGTGTGTCTTTTGGAAGTAGACATGGAACTGTGAAGCTGCTGTGGCTCTGGGTATATCTACACATGTACATACAGATACATATCTCATATACACCTATTATATAATGTTTTTGTTGTTCATTGTAAGCAAATACCTTTCCTTCTGTTTTAATGGTAGGAATTTTGTTTAAATCAATATATTTGTGTATGTAGCTGCCTTTCTAAACTCCCATGTGTTGCACATCTAATGTTTATGTTCTGTCTGCATAGTAATGAGCATGACCAGGGCTGTTCAGTGTCTCATGGCGCTTCCCATTGCTCTCTCTTACAAATCTTGTTGCTTTCCAGCAAGATGGTCTCTGCCAGCGGTATCCTCAGATCTGCCAACAGTAATTATGAGCTTGGATTTGAAATACAGTTCACACTCTGTACATGTGAAGCAGCGCTGTTTAATGTGTGAACTTTTAGAAGGCAGACGTAACAAAGCTGTAACAGCTTGCTTTTAAAAAGTGCATCCTTTGACCTGGTCAGGACTGAGGTTATCTGGGGCAGGTAGACTTTCAGCTCCTCTCTCTACTGCGTGTAGATGCAGATGGAATGCATTCCCCTCCTTGCTTCACCACAAGGGTAGCTTGTCACTGTTTGCCTTATAACATGTATTTCATGTTGGCAAGGAGAGGAATGAACAGGGTCAGGTGAAGCGATGCCAGGATGGAGCGTTGGTCTTCACAACAGTTGAAGAACTGGGGTACAGAGTCCTCAAGCTGGTGGTTCAAGGGCTTTCAGGGCTCCACAAGAAGCTCTTGGCTGTGGCTAGAGCATCGCTCTCTAGCAAAGGCATTCTGAATTTTCCCTTGTTCAGCATTCCTCCAAACCGATGGCAAAAACCTCAATTTTTGCTTTAGAGCAGGAGGATTCTGGGGGTTCAGCATATTGATGGGACCATTCAGTATATTGCAGGTTTTTGTTAAGCATTTCCCCATCTTCCCACAGGTGGAAATAGTGACTCACACGGGGCCTCATCGACGCCTGTGGATGGGCCCACAGTTCCAGTTCAAAACAATCCACCCCTCAGGCCAAACAACCGTCATTTCATCCAGTTCTTCAGTCCTGCAGTCGCATGGTCCAAGTGATACCCCGCAGCCTCTTCTGGACTTTGATACGGATGATCTTGATCTCAACAGTCTCAGGTAAAAATAAAATCAATTTCTAAGCTGTTTCACATTTATTGTGTGAATAACTTGCCTCATGCTTTCATGAGGCCATCTGTGTAGAACATGTAATAGTTTTCATCAGGCTTGTCCAGATGAAAGTCTTAGAAGAGCGTGTGACTCGACAACAGCAACAATTCATCTGGGCCAAGCAGCTTAGATTCCTTTCTGCTGCCCCTTCTTGTGCAAGTGACAGGGACAGACAGTACAAAGGGCAGTGGCCTTGCTCAGCGTCATCTTGGCTTTCACAGTTTCTGCCCTGCTTAATAAATCCATTTCCTCAGACATGAGTGGGAGCTTTATGCCACGGATTTAGGTGCTGACGGTGAAGTGGTCAGTGTGTTGGAACAGCAAGTGAACTTCTGGAATGTTTTTCCCCTCCCTGTTTTTTGAGGGGTTTTGGTTTTTTTTTTTTCCCCTTCCTTTGCTTCCTTCCTTGTGATTCTTTTCTATATATTTAATTCAGCTGGTTTTGGACATTGCCTGATTTGGAATTGGGGGCAGGGGGTGGGCCTGGGGAAGGGAAGGAAGGAGAGCGAAGGTAAATGTGGGTTTTTATTTACTGATAGCTAGTGATTTTGTAGAAGTGCTTTATGCACCATGTGTTTCTCTGTCCTGTTCAGTAACTCTCAAGATTTAACGAGTTTCCATGCTTCTGACTCTGCGTGTGATTCGAAGTCCAAAGTTCTGTGGTATGGACTTGGATTGTTTGGAACTCTGTCTGAAACTCTTCTGAGTAAAACAAGAGATGGATAATATGACTAATCCCATTAAAACTCGGCAGATTGTCCTTGGACTGAAAATACATGAGTTTGAAATGTGTGATTTCTCCTTGCATGTAATTACTGCCATAAGTGAGGATATAGCTGTCAAATATATTAATGTTTTTGTTGCATGTATGTATATGTATGCAGAGAAAAGCAGAATTTTTAAAAAATAGAGATATATGTTGCAAAAGGAATAGACAATTACAAATGTGTCTTTTCTCCTATACTGACAAAGAAAGTGCTGCTAATCAAGAGGGTAACAGAGGCTTTTTAACCAGTTTGGGTAGGGTAAGCTTTTCCCTTTAAGGCTTTCTGAGAGCTCATGTCTGAGACATAATTTGGGGATACTCACTTTTGCAGAGTCTCAGTCTGTCTCTGGATAGATTATCCAGATCTTGGCTTCACAAAACAAAAAAACCCCAAAACTTTTCAGCAGCTGGGTGATTTGAAAGTAACTAGTTGCTTAATTGGTCCAGCTGATTCAGGTTTGTGATTTAATTGCAGCCCTCTAGAGCAACGGTTTTGACACAGGTGGTAATTATAACTTCTTATTTAGGATTCAGCCAGTTCGCTCAGAACCTGTTAGCATGCCGGGGTCGTCACGTCCAGTTTCTGATCGCAGAGGAGTTTCAACAGTGATTGATGCTACCTCAGGTAGGAACATGTTCATTTTGTGTTTTCTTTGATATTCATGGCATTCATCAATCTTGTCTTTTTTTGTCTGATAACACGTTTACTAACCATTGCCATATACTTAAAAGGATATCATGATTTTCAGCTGCACAGTAGGGTAAGTGCTGTCTTATAAATACTTACTGAAAGCTGCCATAATGATGACTTTTTTTTTCCTACCACTCAAATCTGAAGTTACAGCATTGTGGTAAGATGTAAACACAGTATTTATGTTAAGTTTAACATGAGCTATAGAATTCTGAAAACTGCCTAAACTAAAAAGCAGATCATTTGCAAATAATAACACTGAAATTCTTTTATTAATGAATGCCTGAAGCATAGAATATTGCAGATCATTGGCAAATACTAACACTGAAATGCTTTTATTAATGAATGCCTAGAGCATAGAATATTACAGTTCCATCTCATTTATAAAATAGCTTTCATTGAAATGTAATCATAAACGTAATAGATTTCTGTGAACAGTGAAGACAACAGGATAGTTTATCTAATGTTTGTGTAAAAGGCACATTTTCACTACTCTGCTCTAAAAGAGCGTGTAAATTTAATGCTACAGTGGGTATGTTAATATCAACATAGTAATATATGTACTATAAAGTTTCCTGCTTTTTTTCCTCAGTGGAGGGGTATAGTCTGTATAAAAGAAACAAGGACAGCAGAGCTTTATATTCTAGTACAGCTGTATAGTGTCTGAAGGGTCTACACAGCAGGATTTTGTCAAATAAAATCTCTCACAAGTAGAATTATTAAACACACAGCATTAGTCAAACAGTCAAGTCGGAGAGGATTTTAATCTTTAGCGATTTGAAAATCCCTGGAGACTGCTGATTGGATTGAGGTTAAACTGTAAAAAGAGACTGTAACACATACAGAAACTGGTTTCTGAAGGTTGTTTTAAAGAAAGTTAAAATAAAAGCTCCTGTTCCTGACTCTGTTTGCTATTGATACAAATTCTGAGTCCAAGATACTGTATTGTTTGACAAATTAATTTATTTGGGTATTACAGGATAGTTCTTAGATGTGTTTGTAACCGAGTTCAATAATAACTATATTTACTTTGGATATTGAGGATTGTCATTATAAATTCCATTTTCAAATATTTAAAACTTGTTAAATTAATTCACATTGAGCTCAGGCAAACATCTGATGCTGGTTATTTAGAGGGAATTTTATTTATTTGAGTACATGACAAAGTAATTTTGAAAATAATTGTTTGCTACAGAAGAAAACATAAATGTATCAGTTAAGATTTTTTTTTTTTTGACTAGTTCATCTATGCTTATTACCCCTAAAAGGTTACAAGCTCGAATCATAGGAGTGCTGCTGTCTGTGCATCTGACACTTCAGGTGCAGGGTGATTAATGGCATGGCTGTTCTTCACCAGCAACGTGACTGTGCCAGCTGATACAGATAAAGATATCTAGGTTATCAGGGTTGGGTTTTTCCCTCCCCTGTATGAATGGAGCAGTTCCATTACCTATAGCATGGATGTGTGTTCATTCTGAAATACAACCATTCTGTAACTGTAACACATTCTAAAACTGTGTTATTCCATCTCCAGTAGAAACAATGAGCCACGTAGGACTGTTTGTCTTCTATGCTAAACAGCCTTTCCTCTAGTGTGGATAGGGCCTTCATATGAAATGGCTCATGCGAATGTGATGAAGCTCTATTGGTAATGCCTTTAACATGTGTGTTCATATTAAAATTGCCAGAGTCAATTGTATACATTGTTATGACACTGAAAATATATTTACTGTACAGCAGTGACTCAGCTTTGTTCTAACACCTCATAAGTTTCTTATAAACAGTACATGGATTTTGTTAGGGACATGCTGATAGCAGTATTTTATTTAACCTCGCTGCCAGACAGTTTGGATTTGAATTGATTTTTGATTCAGGGACTTTACCATCTATTTACAGTTTTCATATTGCCTGACCCCTGTCCATTCCCATGCAGAAGTTATTCATCCAAGTTTAGAGTAGATATGCCAGATTATGTGTGATGCTATAGAGGTGTGAATTCTGTTACAGAGTAAAGGATATGCAAGGAAAAAACATGCACTGCTTCTTGAGATGTTGTGCTGCTCTTGTAACAGAGCCCAGCAAAGGGAAGAAGAGTGTATTATGCTTACCTTCATTTCTTCCCACCTTTGAGATGTGCAGAAAACTACATTAAGCTCAGCTCTGAATGTAAAGATTTTATTTTTAAATGCTGCTTGTGTACAACGTTGCATTTTTTTTGTTATAGTCCACTACTGTAAGTATTCTCATTTCCTGCTATTACCAAGGCATGCCCTAAATGGCTTATATTCTTTATGGAAAACAAATTTATTGGAAAATACTTTTTTAGGTTTGAAGGATTTTTTTTTAAGTAGCTCATAAATTTTTACTACCTAAGCTGAACCGGGAAGTGATTCTTCAGTTATGACCCATGCATTCGAGTCTGTTGCACTTTATGAAGATGCTTATCTGGCTGTTTGATTGCCTGTTGCTTAGAGATACAACCAGCGTGGCGCCTCTTCTTATCTAACTCCATCACTTGTTCTTCCTATCAAAAGATTTCAAGTACATGTTTATCATCTTACATTATTCTTCCACCATTTTTGATAGCTTCCTTCCTTCTCCACTATTGGTGACAACTCTGTTGTTGCATTTAGTAAGATATTAATGTAATTTTTTTATCATGATTTTCACATGTCTGTAAAACTGTGGTATAGTAATGACCATTTTCTCACAAGGTCATTTGCAAAAATCTTCATTTAAAAACTACAAAACTCTAATACATGAAAAAATATAATGAAAATTTGCAATAGCATTTTCAAGGTGGATGACAAGATCTGTAAAGATTACTTGGATAAATGTAAAAAAATGCAGATTTCAATATGGTTATCTTAAAGTTCTGTTCAGATATTATCTGGTCTGGTTTTTGGGGGTGGTTTTTTTAATGGAATATTTAAGAAAAGTTTGCAAAAATGCAGTTACCTAAAGCTACTGGACATTTGTCCCTCAATGCACACATTTTAGTTATATGCATCACGGAGAGAATATACCCTCAAGGATTAAATGCACTGTAATTCCAGATGCTATTCCAGATTGGCAGTTAGAAATGTTAAAGGGACAACACTGAGTTTAAAGTTGTGTAAAGCAGGAAGCTTTAATAATAATGCAGCAAAAGAATCACTACTGTACACGTAGCAAATACACACTGTGTGTAGCAAGCAGGAGTTTGTGCTTGTGTCTGTGTATCTGTCCTTGCCAAAGAAGTGCTGAGGCTGTCGGCGGAGTTTAACGAAGATGAGGTAAGTCTCGGTAAGTCAGGTTACATTTAAGACTTTAGTAGGCACTCAAGATGGAAGAGAAAACCTCACAAGTGCCCTGTCTGCAGGAGATGCTGCAGATGAAGGTCACACTCTTTGCACCACCAAACCTACCAACCCTAAGGCAGAAATCTGTATTGTGACCAAAAAAAAAGTAGCTCTTGAAGAATGAGCCTGCTCTGTTTCGAAAGACCACTCTCCAGGCATGACTTGAAAACTTTACGGTACCTGTGTGCGTTGAATGCTGTTCCTGTCTTTGATGTGACTAGCTTTTGATATGATTTTCTGCTAGCTGACAATATTTACAGAATCGTGGAGACTTACCTAGAAAACATAAGCATAAACTAGACATGTAATTGAGTATTGGAAATACTCATCCTTCATCCACAAGTTATAGTATAAAAATTCAGAAAAGTGCCTGGAAGGCACTTTTCTGAATTTTTATACTATAACTTGTGGATGAAGGATGCACATCATATATGTTACGCACCTGGAAGTCAAACCTGATAGAACTCTACTACTAATAAATAATGCAGAAATTAAAGGGTGTATGAAGGTTAGGATATCTGCATGGAACAACAGCTCTGAGCTTTCAGAAACAGAAAACCTCTAAAGAAGGGGTTTCACAGCAGTTCCTGATCACAGTGAATTTATCACACAGCTGCATTGAGTCTGTAAGGGCGAGAGTTTCCCTTAAACTGTAACAAATGTGTTGAAGGGCTCAGGTACTCAGGTATGCTCAGGCAGAGCTGTTAATTCAGTCCTGCTCAGTTAAAAAACAAAAAGTGTGTGTGTGTTTATGAAAAGCTGTGTTTATTCCCTCGTACAAAGAGGTTTTTGACACTTACCCATCAGTCATGTAATGATTTTTTGGCATTGTCAGCAGAGTAGGAAAGTGTTGACAAAGACGTTGTCTGATTTCTGTTTTGCATTGGCCTTTTCCTTTCCTCCTTGGAGATCTCTGTTTCTTTCTTGCTTAGGACAAATACAGAAGTTAAGAGTGGGAAGGATTTTAATTAATAAAATGAAATTGTAGAAGAAGAAGATCCTGACCCCCTTTTTTTTCCCCCCCTCTGTGTGTGTGGAGTTGGGAGAAGCTTTATGTTCTCTTCTAAAACCTGGCATGTGCTGTGCTGCTTAGGGATGCAAGCATCATTTTTTAATGAAGTTTGTTTATTACTGTTGTATGAAACTCTGACAATACCAAGCTCTCTTCTGGTTACTTCAATCAATGCCCACTTAAAATTGGCTTGTAATTTAGTACTTCCCTTTCTTTTGTGTGTGACTGGCTGGTTGTGGACAGATAGCTTGTTGCCTGCAGAGGGTTTAATGAAGAGAAGAATTGACTTGGGTTTTGTGGGGGAGGGAGGTTGCCTCCCCTTCCTCCCTCCTCCCCTTCTGCCTGTGAAGGATCTTTTATTGTTCATCACCACACCTGTGAGATAGGGACCAGGGGACAAATCTTTACTGTCCAGCAATGCTCTCACGTGGAATTTAATAAACGCTTCTGCTGTCACACCTTAAACCGTCTGAGCTCTTTTTCTGTTGTATGCGCGATCAAATATTTATTCCCAAATGCTGTACGCCAGAAAGTGCTGCCTTGGAGTAGCGGAGATCAGTTATTCAGGTAGTAAAGATGTG